AGATAATTTTTAGTGTGATCGAAGAATGCGTGACCCAGTATTCCCGTGAGCTGGTATTAGTACTAGAGAATAAAGAGAATGAGGATTCTCCTTTGTTTGTCGAGCTAGATAAGCATATGCTTTTAGTATTGGTGGAGATTCTGATTGTAACTAAAGAGTCTTCGAAATTCAAAGCTCTGTATGCTCTCGGCGTACAAACCAATGATCATCATAACTACCGTAAATTCTCGAAATAACGGGCAGGGGCATTAATTCGAAAATCGCGCCCCCCTAAAAATAGTATAGGTGGTTTCGAAATAACGCCCATGCGTGTCCCGAATTAACGCGCATCTAATAGTAAGGGGTAGTAAAATTTAAAAAAAAATGCTCCAGAACTAGGTTTGGTATTATGTAAATCTACTTTTGAGCTTTAACAAAAGTTGTTCTTCGGATCGAGACGGTTCTAATAGTGTTAAGTTTATCAAGAACGACTCAGTATATCGTCTACAATGGCTCCTCAAAGTTTTGCAACTTATGTAAACAAAGATAAACAAATGTTGCAAAACTTCGAAGAGCCATTGCAGACAATATACTGGACCGTTTTTAATGAATGTTAATTAAAGCCCGAAAGTAGATTTACTTAGCACCTAGTTTCGAAACATTTTTATTTATTCACTTTTTATATAAAAAATATATATATTTGTTTCAAAATAATGTCCATGCGTGTACTCAAAATAACGCGCACATATTCAAAATAACATGCAGATGCCCATTATTTCGAGAATTTACAGTAGTAAGAATATCATATAATTGCAGATTTGCTGGATTACCATTCTTGCCTTTTTGTTTGTCCAGTAAAATTTGGAAAATGTCCAGTCACCTATATTTTCTAAAACATGCTTTCTTTTGCTTCAAACACCAAAATCAATAATTCTGACAGATAGCAATTGAAATCTGGTATGCAAGAAATATGATTCAACACCTCAAAAAGTTATAATCTGGTCCCATAAGCTGAGTAGATTAGTAATAGGAATCAATTTAGTCAACTAAAAAATTTATATGTAAATTATTACATTTAGTCAATTTAGTCAACTAAATCATATAGTCGATTCATATTCCTAGTGTTACCAAGTGAACAGACCTAGTAATTCTCCTGAGCCAAGTATATAATCGGCTAAGGAGCTACTTTCTCTGTGAAAAATAAAAAAAATGCATCTTATTGTCAAGAATAAAATATAAATTTTTGGCTTTAATAAAAAGCGAGCTCATCTTCTCTCCATTCTATTTTTTTTGGTGATTATCATGGGGCTGTTGAGATGATCGTGTGGATGGATAGTGGTAGGTGGTAACTCTGGCGTGGGATTAATTTCCATCAATTGAGAGATTGTAGAATCAAATGATTCAATTTTAGAGATAAGCCCTTGCTAAGATTCCTGCTAAAGTTCTTGCTAAGATACTTGTTAAGATTCTTGCTAAGATATTTGTTAAGATTCTTGCTGAGACACTTGTTGAGATTCTTACTAAAATTTCTGCTGAGGTTCTTGCTAAGATTCTTGTTGAGATTCTTGCCAAGATTCCTGCTAAGGTTCTTGCTGAAATTCCTGCTGAAGTTTTTGCTGAGATTCCTGCTAAGGTTCTTGTTAACATTCTTGTTGAGGTTATTGTTAACATTTCTGCTGAAGTTCTTGTCGACATTCCTGCTGAAGTTCTATATGAGGTGAAAATTCAGATTCTAGTATTACACTCTTTGAAAAAAAGTTCTCTAGTTTAATTTTAGTGATTCCATATATACAAGCAACGTAGTTCATTCTGTATAGTATGGAAGAAATTATAATATGCTAATTAAATTTAAAAAATCCTCGATATGGCTTGTTATTGGTGGTTTGTAATTAAGAAACCAGTGTTAGTAAATTGAAAAATTGATTAAGAAGCTGAATTTTTAGTATAAAAAGATAAATTATAGAACTTACTATTATAATCAACGTATTTTTTATAAGCAGACATCTTTATTGTATTATAAGAGATAAGGAAAAAGTTAAAAATTTCTCTTTAATTTATATACCTGACCTGATCGTATCTATAATCACAAAATCATGAATGACAACAGCAAGTTGTTATGTCATAATTCACATGATGCATTCAATAATAATCTTTCCCAGTATCACTAACAAAGATTTACTATTACTACTATTATGTGACATATGATAAATTCTTTAAGTTCATTTATATTAGGGTTAGAATATATATTTAGATTAAAGTTTAGAGCTTCTAATAGTAAAATCTTTTAGAGAAATCTTTTTGTTAATGCACAGAAGGCTTGTAATTGATTTTTGAAATTTTATTATTGGCTTATATTTAGGGTTGCAATTATATCAGTATAATAAAAATGCCCAATATAATACCAAATATTATATTGTATTATACCATATACAGTCAAACCCCTCTATAGTTACCTCCTCTATAGTCACAAAATTAGTATAATTACAAATTTATTTTTACTAATTATTTATAATATGTATATAGAAAATACCTCTATATTAGTTACACCTTTTTATA